CCAGCCTTTGAAGTGTTTTTTGAATCGATTTCCAACTTTTTGAAGAACTCTAAGGTAAAAAAATTTTTGGTTTATAGACCACATTGGCAATTAGCGGAGATAATGCAGGCTTTCCACTAAAGGCTCATCGTTTTTTTTCAAACCTTTGAGGTGTGACTCACTGTATGTCAAAATTGAATTTGCTTGCCGTCTTATCGTTTAAGTTTCTTTTTTCTTATTTCGCTTTACCTTGGATTTTTATTTGATTCTTGCCACCTACTGATCTATTTCGCTCTCTTTTCTCAGATTTTGGTTTTGTGATTCTTTTTGGGTGTGTTAAATGAATAAATAATAAATAAATAAATGCCCCTAAAACCTTATAGTATGTTTTCGTCCTTTAAACTCGTCCTAGAGAGTATGAGTGTTTCTGTATAGCACATGAGAAACAGCCAAAACCCACTTAAAAACGTGTACCACTTGAGTCAATTACTCCTCAAAGCGAGAATCACAGCTTTCTCTTTTCGCTTTTTCAGCTATTGTTCCAAAACCAAGCACTATCCTCTTTTTAATCACGAGTCCAATAAATTTAGGATGGAAGATGCGTGGGCAATGGTATTCTCCTATCTTCCACCCCGTGAAATTCGAAAATGTGAACGAGTTTGCAAGATGTGGAGACGTCTTGCGCATAGAGCTATGCGTCAACTTGAAGCTATCAACTTTGAACGCGATTTTCCAGGGGCTATTGCGTTCTCAACTCGTGTACAAAAAGTCTTGGGTGGGTAACTTTATTCTGTGAATAGTGCGGTAAAAAAGGCTAATTGACCTTCTTGCACTTGCCTTCTGAATTTAATTTTAGATATTTTTTTCAAGCACTAATTTTTTTCTTAATGTTTTTTTATTAGTTCTTTTAGATAAAGAACTAAGTTTTGCGTTTTGTGCCGTGATCTAAACGACCTGTGGCGCTCAAATTAAACTTAACATTTCGAATAATTCGGATTTTGATATTCGACTATCCGACAAAGCGCATCTATTCGATTTTCTGAATAGTCGAATATTCGGAAAAGTGCACTACTCAATTATTCGAATAATCGGATAGTTTGAAACATCGACATCCGAATTTTTCGACTT